TCCTCTTGATCAATGTCTTGATTAAAATCGCCTAAAAGAATACTAGGATAGCTAAAACCTTGGATGATACCATTTAATCTAGGCCAAAATGTAGTCTGATCCTGTAATACAGAGGGACCATACAAAAAAATAGCCATCCAAACAAGGCCAGATGCCTCAGTGATTCGTGCACCGATCACATTAGCATCCTTAAACACTAATGACAGATTAATATTAGCTAGCCAAAAGAGACCCAGTCCACCACTACTACCTACTGGATCTACTAAACAGGAATGTTTAAAAACAGATGATTGGAGCCAAGCCGAAATAGTAGAGTCTGTGGCCTTGGTCTCCATTAAAAGCATAATACTAGGTTTATAAGTCTTGGCTAGTCTATTTAACATACTTTTGGATGAGGTATTATTCATACCTCTACAGTTCCAGCTAATGATACTCATTTAAACAAAGGCGGTTGATCTGGTTCAACCACCGCAAGACCATTCAGAATAGCATTGTAGAAATATTGTCAACCTGGGAGTCTGCCTGCCAATTCCCCGAGTTGATGGTGTCTTTCCTAGGTGAGACAGAACCTGCACGCCTCTTTCCAGGACGATCCTGTTCATCTTGAGATTCCTCTGAGTGTCTCTTCCTACTTTCCATAGAGACATCTGAGTCAGCGAAATCCTCTACATCAACCCGCATCCTCCAGCCTGTTGAGGTACTACCACTTGCAGCATTGCATCGAGGCGAAGATGGAACCTTGCTGAAGCAGCTGGCAAAACTCCCTTTCTTTGATTTGGTGTAGTAGTTGGGCAACTCCGATTCAGAGACTGCTCTCCTAGTAGTCATACAAAAGCCTTCATTGTCACTGCCTGATTGGGATGACTCTTCCCGTGAGTGAGAAGAAAAGCTCTTTCTGGTACCAGATTTCTTGAAACTCCTGTGACTCTGCTTAGAAGTAGGAATCTTTGCTTTTCTGACAGACACAGATCCCTCAGAAGTATCTGACGGTACAAATTCCACAGAAGTAGGCCTAAAACTACCAGGCCTTCCAAAACTTGTTCTTTCATTATCACTAGGTTGAGAGCTTAAGTAGAAACCACTAAACACAGATACCGGGGTTACATCATGAGTAGGGGGTAATCAGGAACATTTGGGACAAAGAAATCAGGAATAAAAGAGGGATCATCTAGCATATCCCTAGAAGGTGGAGTATCCGAAATATCATAAAATGAGGCAGGCAAATAAAAATGTCTATCGTTATCCAGAATTGAGTTATCAGAATTCTCATAGATTCAGATAAAGATGGAGGTAAAGAATAAAAACTGTCACCTTGATCAACAGACTTCAGGGAATCAGAATCATCTGCCGCAGTAGGGGCTGGCATTCTAGAGTAATCGATCACTACATCCGCATAGCGATTGACTCTGCCATCTAGAGGGATGGAAGACCATCATCATCATAAAAGTTATCTGCATTAAAGTCAGCCATAAAGTGATCATCATCCATATTGGCTCCCCCATTAGAATGGTCATCATCATCCCCATTAGTGTCATCAGGATCTGAATCGTCTTGATCATCAGCATCATTGTCTGGGTCATTATCATCAGCGTTATCATCATCATTATCATCATCAGTGTTGTTTCCACCAGGATTATGTGGCGACCAAGGAAACCAGGGCACAGGAGCATCTTCCTCCAACTCAGAAATGGTAAAACCATCCTGCACATAGTCATCAGGAACTGAATCATAAAAGTCCAGCATCTGTTCTACCTTATAATCAGGGAGACGAGTACACCGCTTCTTCTTATGTGCATGCCCCCTTATGCAACCAGTATACAGGGGTTGATTAACATCAATCAACAATGGGAAATCAAACTTAGTAGCCCTTGGAGCAAAGAAATTATTCAAGAAGGTAGTCAGTGCATCATCCTCCATCATATAGCATCTTTGAAGCTGGTGGCCCAGGCGTCCACAACGTTAACAGTACTTGTGCATATGTTCATACTTGCATCGAATTTTAGCCACTTTGCCATTTCTCTTAGTAAAATGGAAATAAGGAACCAGAGAGTCACCTAGTTTGATCCACACCTTCGCTCTGACATAGGTGATCTTTCGCAGGGAGACACAATCCTGCTTAATACATGCCACTTCACCAATTCTACTGGCCAGATCTTCAAGGGCTTTGTAAATTATGGAAGTAATTAGCACTCCATGCATGCGAACCCAGATGCTCAAGTTCTCAATCTTGATGCTATCTAGGGCCAGATCTTCATGATCGTAGCATTGGCAAAGTATTAAGAAACCACCATTAACAGGATAAGGGCCATTATCCATGATAGCCATCATCTCAGATCTGTTCATACACTTGAGAACAAAGAAGTTCCTGTCATAATGAAGCACTCTCACAGTAACCGACCAATTTACAACCATATAATGTTGCATGGTCTTATCATCCACTTCAATATCATCAATCAAATAGCCCAAAAGTGACAACTTCAGATTATCCCGGGAAAGTTGGGTGTGATAATCCGTTAGTTGCATGTTGCTAGATCGAAGAAAAAGGCAAGGTACCAAATGTGGATCAATGTCAACAAAAGATCGGAGATCACGTGCTTCCTCTGAAAAGTTAGAACCTTGAAGAGACATTGTCGTTACCGAGTTTTTCATCCATTGCATGTCTGTAATTCATTGTTGTAGATGAGATCTAAGCCCACAAGTTGAAAACAGAGGAATGAAGAGTTTAAGTAAAGAAGTATCAAACCTAATGCTGATAAACAGCAAAGATACAAAGGGATGACAGTGAACAGAGAATGTTCAGAACAATATTTATGAGAGAGACAAAAACCAATACAACCAGGAAATCAGAATGGATTTCGGACTTTGGTAAGTAGTGTGAAAAGGAAAGAGAATAAATTAAAAGGCAAAAATCTTTATGACTAGAGTCTAGGAAATAGAATTAACTCTAGAAAGTGGAAAAATTTGGGAGGCTCAAGAAAAGAAGACAAGCAACTTTGATAATTTCAATTGCTTATAAAAAGAGAACCGGAAGCAGAAAGGATTAGTCTAAGAGCACATTTGTGTGATTAAATTAATTGATTGAAGTGACAACTAATTTGCATAGCCTCCAAATGGCAAAACATTCAGAACCTGATCAGAGTTGGAGTTAAAAAAAGGTAAATGTGAGGGCAAACAAAACAGGATGATTGTTTTAGTGAAACTAAGTGAAATCAAAGGTAGTTTTGATAGTAAAATGAGGAAAGTAATAAAAGTATTAAGGGAATAAGGTTGGAAAGTGGAAGTTGGATAGTTAAAGTGAAATTTAGTGGTTTTGTCGTCAAGGTGTTTTTCTCTTTTTGGGAGAAGAAACACGATATTCTCTCACTAGAATTTTAAGAGAGAAGGACGACATGTGTTTTTTTAGCTTTGTTGGTTAATTATGTTACGGTGGACGAATTGGGTGTAAAGTATATTATACGGGTAAAAATTGAAATCACCAGAATATAGATCTTGTCACGGCAAGAAAAAAGAAACGAAAAATTGTTTAGAAAATGTATACTATGTAATCCTAGAGCGGGAAGTCTTAAAAAATAGAAAGTGCATTCCCTTTTCTTTTCTTTCTTTTTTATTCTTAAGTTTCTCCTTCTGGTCTCTTAAAGTGGCTGAATTTAGGGGTAGTGCCATCAAATTCAGTCCCGTGATTTCAGTAACATTTTGTCTCGTAATCATAATGGCACAGCTTTTAAGCACAATTAAAATAACCCTAAAAAATTAGTTTAATTAATTATTCCTTAAACCAACACGAACGTGACGTGCAGGGCACTAACGAGTACAGATTAGAGATTAGAGACAAGTTTAGGACCACTACAATATAAATTCAAAAAAAAATATCGAAGTTATTTTTTAGTAATTAATTCCGTATATTTGTTCTTCAAAACAATAATTAACAAATCCACAACCAGCCCAGGTACAAATGTACGACTTTCTACCTGGAACTTATAAAAGTTTCATAAATCTAATCAAATAACCCTTTACGATTATCTCTAGAAAGTAAAAATTTCAATTAAATTTGGTTAGTTTGTGGTTTCATAAATAGGAAAATGGGAACTATTGTATTTTACTACAAGACAACTGTTGAAGAAATTTTGTTGCACGGCTCCTTTTCCTTTTAAATACTCCCTTCGTTTTAAAATAAACGTCGTTTTATCAAAATAAAAAAATTTCAAAATAAGTATCATTTTCATATTTTAGTGCACTTTTTGTCCAAAGTTACTAAAATTACTCTTAAAAGAATTAATATTATTGATAGATATTTTTTTAATGGGGTTAGTTGAGGATATTCAAATAATTTTATTACTCTATTTAAGAGTTTTTAAAACTATATGCAAAATGTAGGATGACACTTATTTTAGAATGGATGGAGTAATACTATTGCAGCATTTCCGCACGAACTACTTGGGGAAAAAAAATAATGGAATCAGTTTATACTACTTTTAAATAAATGAATACTAGAAATTACAGGAGTGATGAAAGATCTATCTGCTTTATGCTTGAGTACGTGCCTGGCACCACTAAGGTTGCTATAATCAATGACAACTCCATCGGAAATTGACGTCGAGAACTCCGATCTGTGGAGTTCTAGATTCAAGTGCTTGGCAATCATAATTGAAGTTTCTTTAAGTTGTTGATCTAATTAAATGGTAAGCATTTTCATCAACTAGCTTCTTGAAGGTACACGAAAGATTACACCGGTTCATGACTTCTTCATCACACTAATATTAAACCTACCGCATCAAAATCAAGCACTTCATAGTTCATACTTCCATAGCAAGAAAAGAATTAATCAGTTTAATCTTATCAGTTTAATCTTATGAGTTTTAGTATATGAGATTTCAAGCATCTCCATGTTGTTGAAGTTTACTTGGAACTCCCAAATCGAGCAACATTCTTTTCTTCTGTCTCCAGAAAAAGGGACGTCCAAAATGTTTACACATCATTTTGATCGATCAAACAAATTTTTGAGCACATTATTTCACTGGTTAATCAAATACAAATTATACTAAGACTTCTTATTTTAGACGGAAATTAAGTACAAGAGCCATCAATGTCTACAAGCTCAATGTAATTCAATTTCACCGGCCAATAACCGATCAATTGTGTTTAATCACCACGCGCCACCGTGAACATGGCCGGGAATACTTTCATGAGAACAATGTACAACGGTGATCATGATAATGTCTCTGTAACAACGGACATCTAACTTAAATAATGCCTTTTTTCTCGTCCTACCACTTATTTTTATGCACAAGATTAATCTCTAATGATCTACTTAAAACTCTTTACACGTGTGCTAGAATTCCGTTAACGAAACGTTACGTCGACACTCATCTATTGACGGCGACCATAACGGAGACGGCGGTGTTTTCAATTTCTCAAAATATTCCCGTATATCCATACCGCCTTTCTTCAGCTCCTCCATCAAGTCCGTCTCATCTCTTGACGGTAAAAACGGTGGCCGTGAAACCTCCGTTAACAAATCCCACCTCAAACCTTTGAAGAATTCGTGCTCCTTGATCTCTGACGCGCCTCTTCGGTACCCCAGCCGGCGCGTGGGATCCTTCTCCAACAACTTTGTTATCAAGTCCGTCAATGAGTTGGGTTTCCCGACGAATTCCGGCTCCATAAGAAGGATTTTCCGGAAAGTTTCTTTCCGATTTTTCCCTTTGAACGGCGTCGTACCGTACAACATCTCATAACAAAGAATTCCCAATGCCCACCAATCTACGGAAAATTCATGTCCTTCGCCGCTGATAACTTCCGGCGCGACGTATTCCTCTGTTCCGACGAAGGAATTCGAACGCTCGTCTGAAGGCTCTATAGTTTTCCGAGTCACAGGCGAAACCCGGGCACTTTTCGCTTTCTTTACACTAGTTTCTTTCTTCTTGTAAAGATTAACGAGCCGGGTCAGATTTCTCCGGTGACGATTCCCCTGTTTCCTCTGTTTCTCCAGCGGCTCTGTTCTGGGCGCCATGAATTCCGTTGTTTTCTTCTTTCTGGGCGATAAACTACGCGAAAGATCAAAATCGCTCAGCGTAATATGCCCAGAATGCTGAATCAAAATATTCTCCGGCTTCAAATCTCTGTACGCAATGCCCAATTCGTGAAGCTTCTCCAGAGCGCAAATGATCTCGGCGAGGTAAAATCGGATGACAAATGGAGAAAACACACGGTCAGATTGCCGGAATCGGAGGACATTGAGGTCACCTCCGGGACAATAAGGCGTGGCCCAACAAAGATAATCCTCTGTTTCAGCAGTTCCCAGAAGATAAGGAAGGAAAGGGTGAGGTGATTCTAACTCTTTGATTTGGTTGAGAACAGAGATTTCCCACCGGGATCGGCGGTCGGAATCAGGCTTAATCGGAAACAAGGATTTTTCCACAACTTTGAGGGCGAATGGGAAGGTAGCAGAGGGATCAATTAGCATGTCATGGACGAGGAAGACGGTTCCGGTGGCTCCTTTACCTAGTACTTTGATGGCTTTAAGGTTTTGGAGCTGAAGTTCGAACTCCGGCCAAGTGCCGCCGGTACTATTGTCATCCATTCTTTTTGTGTAAAGAGAGAAAGAGAAACAAAAAAAAAAAAAGGGAGGGAGAACGTTGGTGATGAGTGTATGGATAGAGAGAAGAAATGCAATATTTATATATGTGTATAGCAAATGAGATGGAATGGATGAGTATTTTGTATTCTTTTGCTTTATTGTTTTTTTCAAAAGTTTTTAAATGAAAATAAAATTTAGGAGTACGTATTAGTTGGGTTGTTAAGAGAGTTGGGATTTTTTCGGTTTGGATTTTATTGAACCAATTTTTAGTGACTTGTATTATTCCATTTATTACGACTGTATTTGTATCTTCATCTTTTAGTTGTTAATGCCATGATTTATGATCCTAATACGCTTTTTGTATCTATTATTTTCTTCTTTTTAGTATCTCTTAACTAGATTTGAATCATTGATCTCGTGATTACAACTCTTTCTTCTTAGTCTAGAACTTAAAGAGATAATCGCTCCATTTCAATATTAGAGTCATGAAACTATGTACCTAAATGGGAAAGAGTTATTTTTTACCACAGTTTATTGGATTAAGATAATTAATTTTCAACTTTTAAAGTCCATAGAATTTGTGTCAAAATTAAGAAGATAAACAGTTTTTTTTTTAGGGAAGGGGTAAACAAAAATGTTATGAATTTGAAGCATATTTCTTCCATCCTTAGATATTAATATATTTCTTACCCTAAAAAAAAAAAAAAGGTGTATTTCTTGAAATATTATAAGTTTATAAAAAAGAGTATTATCACGAAACTAAATAAAGTAGAGCTTAAAGGGTAAGGGTTAATTATACATGTTCACAACCTTCTTAATAATCTGTGTAACCAAAACATTTTAACAAAGTACACCCTCAACAATACCATTTCGTATATCGTAGCAAAAAGTTCGGTTCGATCACACTATAAAAGTTCATGCATATTGTTGTGAATTAATATTAAAATGGAACGAAAAGGAAATTTATTTTATAAGCATAACATGTATGGACAAGATTAGAGTAGCCTAATGACTCAATTGATCGAATCAATTCCTACCTAATTAATTAGCCATGAAATGGATCATTATTTTATTTTTTTTACTCCTTTGGGGCCAAACGAGATTTCAAGGATTTCAATGAAATCCGGTTTCATCAGTAGTTAGTTATAGATTGCTCTTTTTGGGGGGTACCCTGTATGAATATACGTCTTTTAATTCAATTTAATTACCAAAAAAAAAAAAGTAATGATCACTCAACCGGTTTATCTTCATTGTACGAAAAACCATGTGATCTTGTCCAACAACTGCAAATGTACAGTGTGACAAATTGGAGAATCAATCAATCAAAACATCTGGAAATTTATTTTTGGATGCTTGTAGTATCGGCGACTCCAAACAAAATTCGAAGCATTTGGCGAGATGGATCTACAACATAAAACAAAATACATAACAAGTATTGATATAAACGTAGGAATAAGTCAAGAATTTATTTTTTGTAGGTTTATGAGTTAATTAAATTTTCTAAGGTAAGGAATAAGAACCTAAAGGAGATGACAAAAATGAAAGAATAAATCCGGAAAAGTTTCATTGCTACACTAATATTTAACTACCGTTGATTGCATGATTAAGATTCGTGCGTCTTCTTGCACTTTAGAGCACATTATAATACTAGTAATATTTTGTGACTAAAAAAGAAAAAAAAAAAACGAATTAGGAGCGTGTTCGTCGAATATTTGCGGTAGACTGTAGTGAGATTTTTTTTTCTTTTAATTTCATAAATCTCTTATTACACACAGGTCTGTACTCAGAGAATTTAGTTATTTTTAAAAATGCAAGTTACATATCATATCATTAACTAAAAATCCAATCAATTCCATAAAATTTAAGGTGTATTTTAGCTTCGGATTTTTATATCTTTTTGCTTTATATATAACTAGCTACTTTTAACAATTGCGTCACCTAATTAGCTAGTAAATGTAAGAAAAAAAAATAAAAGTAGAATAAAAAGTGAAAAATCTAAAGTTCGGCGTTACCATTAATTAAAAAAATAAATTTGTTAATTATTTGCTGCATTTTACGAAGCACTGTTTAGTTAACATGGATTGTTAAACTACTAGCTAGATGTGAAAAATCCAACACTAGTTTTACGTCTTTTTTGGTACACCAAATTAATCCTACCTATAAACCAACTTTACGATAACAGAGGTTACGTTTTCCAAAGAAAAGAAAAAGAAAAAAAAAAAACAGAGCAAATGGTTTGGTACATACTTTTATAAATGTGACCACGTCTTAATTTTAATGGAGATAGACTTGATAAAATGATCGGAAGTTTGTAGTATTATGCAGGGTAAAGAAAAAATAAATAATTATTTTGAAATGGAGAAAGTATTTTGTTATGAAAGAAACGGAAATTAATAGCTGATTAATTATCTAGTTCTGGGAGTATCAAAACAATAATTTCAACAGTTCTATGACTTAACTATACACAGGGTTTAATTAAATTTCCAATTTTTTATATATTTTTTTATTCAAGTATTCACATTAAATAGTTGAATCGTAAATTATATTAGGTGTATGAAAGAATGGTATACAATACGGTAATTATTTGGATGTAGAATAAAGAATATTGTGATTCATTTTTATTTTGCAATCTGGTAGACATTTCTGAATTGAAAGTGTATTCGGAGATAAACGACAAGAAATGACAACCCCAAGAAGAGGTTGACACCACGAAGATACTAGGAAAGTGTATGAACCGTTAATATTGTCCTTTTTTGTCCCAAAATTATTGTCCAGTTTGAATTTTCACTTTAAGTGCATTTTATACTTTAAATGAAAATTTAAACTGGACAATAATTTTGAGACGGAGGGAGTATAAAGTTTAGTACGTATATATAGGGTATAATATAGACATAAGTTTCTAATAATAAGTCTATCTAACCCTAATATACATATACTAACAGTTTCTAATCAATTAAATTCATATTTAGGTATGTTTTTACAAGGATTTGAGCATACATACATGCTTGTGTGACTAAGTTACTCTTATCAAAGTAAACAAAAATGATTCCTCGCAATTTCCTCCTCTTCCTTCCGTTGGATTTCCTCCCACTTTCCTTCAATAGTTTCCAATTACAAATGGTATTCTCTATATGCTATTACTATTTAGTAGTCTGTAGCATACTTAGGTCATTTAATCAGGTGATCCAGTTGGATTAGACCTTAAAATGATGAGATAATAAAAAATAAATAAATAAAAAGCTGGCTTAAAAAAAAAAAAATCTACTAGTAAAGAAATGGGAAAAAAAGGAGACACACGTGTAAGAAGATTAGGGACCATTTGTTATTATTATGGTACAGATGCTACAGAACAGTGTCTGCTGCGCAGCAGAAGCGCATAATAATATAGAAAAACACTGAGTCACACGGACAAAACTCACATGGGGCGCCTGGCTCGCTCTTACATTATCAATATGGCATAATCTAAGGCCACTCCTCCTTCTCTGCATTGCACGCTTTCATGGCCCTTTTGGTACTGTCAATCTTTAATTGTGCTTCGTTGGAATTGCTTCTCCATTCCTCGACCAATTCCCTCTTTCCATCCTCTTTCACTCTTTCACTATAGTTGTATATTAGTAATGTATACAGCCAAAGTATTCTAGTGCAGAATCCGAATTAATCTGAGTGTAATATAAGTCGTGTTAGGTTAAAAAATTTGAAATTAATCTGAGTATGATATAATTCGTGTTAGGACCAAGTATAAATGTATAATTAGGTAGTAGCGAGTTCATCGTATCTGTTTCTTCCACGATGGATGTGTTGAATGCGATCAACAAATTCAGTGAACCTGGAATGTATATATATAATCCGTCTTTTAATTGATGAAGACAAGAATCAGATTTCTTGCTTAAATAATCATGTCCACGGCTTTTTATTATGCAACCTCTAAAATTATTCTTCTAACGAGACGAGAAATTTGTAGCTTGATGAGCAAGTGATTTCCGTCGCCACCGGCGAATCCACTGAGTAACTTTCATCTTCAAGGTGATAATAATAGGAAAAGAAGGGAAAAAAAAGAAAAAAAAATCAGTTTGGCTTCAAAAAATATAGCACTATTAGCTAATACCCGTGTGTAAGCTTTTAATGCAATCTTCAACAAGCAATAATTGTCTGTAGAGAAGGGGTTGCGGAGAGAGAGAGCAATGAAGTGAGTTTTAGCATCGATTCTTTTATAATAAGAAACAAGAAAGTAATGGCTACAAGAGTTAATTTGTGTGTCTCATTTTGAACTAAAAAGAATTTATACGCAATACTGCTTCAACCATATATTTATCGGAGGATTAGTCGACCAGGCCAGCAGGCAAGTTTTTTAATTGAGAAAAGGTCTTCATATGTAAATCAAAGAGAATTCTTTTCTTTTGATTATATGCGATGTGACACCAAGAGAAAATGCATTCGTGTGTGTATCATATGCGCGCACTTCATTACACGTATCAATTCCAACCTTTTCTTTCCACTCTTTTGACTAATTTTTTTTTTTTTCCCCTCATTTTCCTTCTTTCTGATCATCCAAATTACAAACCTTGATTCCTTGATCTTTCCTAACCCAACGTCTCTTTCTCTTTTGACCTCACTTGTATTATTAGAAGACTTCCTCCAATCAAAAATTAAGAGATAAAAAAAAATCATTATCTTGAGCTTGACTTGTATCCCCAAAGGAAAATAAAAAAATAAAAAACAGTTGGAATTGATTAGTTACTAATAATTAGTATATATACCGTGCATGTAACAATTATTGAGTTGAATTATTTCTCCAAAGTATTATTACTAAATTATTGGCTATTTTATAAATAATTTCATGCCCTAGCTAGCCTTTCCGCAATATTAAAATCCTTATAGGCCATTTTCACAGGTACGTAATTAAGTACGGTAGGCTCATACAGGTTTCGTTTCTTTATTTTACAAAGAGTTGGCGCAACAGTTATGTATTAATCATAGTAGGAAATTGATATTTTAGTTGATATAGTTGGAAATATTAAATATGTACATGTACATTAGCTTAAACAAAATTATTGCAAGTAGATTGTACGGGTTCAATAAGTGCATTTGGTAGTTTGCCCATGATACAATTAGGTATTGCTGCTCTATCAAATCTAAATCTTCTTCTTCTTCTTTTTCTTCTCCCTTTTTTCTTCTTTTCTGGTTTTTTTTTTTTTTTTTTGCTTCAAACAGAAGAAGAAGGCAAAAAAAAATAATAATAATAAAATCAAAATCTTCAATTACATTATAATGGTACACGACAAGGTGATATAAATGATATATTAAATTATATGTATATATGTTTCATGTCATTTCTTTCTTATTTTACGTTATCTAGAAAATCAAACATGTCCCTTTAGACTTTACATACCGCAATACAACAACAATAATAAAATGTTGCATTTTCATTTTAGTTGATATATGAAAGAAATAATCAAGAAATTTACATATATAATGTTGGTTTTCAATGGCATTTTGAATCGTATCATTTTGCATGCTTGCAAGTTGCATTGTAGAGTAGTTGCATCAAATTATGATCCTCTTAATTATGTATACGAGTGAATCTATAATGATGACTTAATTAGGTAGCTTATTAATTCTTATTTTTCCTCTACTACAGTTTGCCGTTGCTATTTGATTCCTTTGGATTGAATTTATTACACTACCTTCTCTTTCATTTCTGATAGGAGACACTCCAAAACTAGAAATCATTAGGGGTTGTTTGTACCTGTTTAGTTCACTCCTAACTAAATCAATGATTAAATACTATGCCAATTATTGGTAATCAAATTTTTGTGTAGTTTCTCTTGTTTCATTTTCTTGAAATGCAGCCTTGCTCTTAGTAAAATACTCCCATCGTTTAATTTCTTTTCATCAGGTATTTCTTATCGACAATAATGACTAAATCGAATAGAAAGACTATTTGATAAATTATATTTCCATAATGTGTGATTAAGCGAACATAGATAATATAGTGAGTAAATGTAACCAGTCATAACTTGCACAGTAAATTTGATAAATGTTCTTTTCAATTTAAATAAGAGTCATATTTGTCGAATTCATTAAATAATATCTTTATAGAGGGTTTAAATAATTGTACATTTGTAAAATTAAGGTATAATTGTAGATGTTTTATTTTTATCTTGAGGCAGTGAACCAGGGGCTTCTGACTCTGCATCCCAACAAATAATATACTAAAATGAAGCTTCTTTGGGAAAAAGGATCCTTTCCCTTAAATTCCTATATTTTCTTCACTTTAAGGAGCACAAAATCTTCGATAGCATTTTATTTTTGGCTTTTTTATGTGCCTAAGTTTGACATATTGTCCCACGATGAAACTTTATCAACCCTAAAAAATATACTTTTCAAGTTTTGCAAATAGCTTTCTTGTCGGCCATCATTTGGTTCACTGAAAAGGTAAGCCTTTCTTCCCTCCCACCTATATGTTCAAAATAAAATGCAAGGGAAACTCCATAGTTTATATAGTCTTTATAATCTAATCTTAAAGCTAAGTTGAAATTGTACCCTACTTTTACGAAAGCAAAGTGATGGACACTTTGATGATGCCTTGTCGGCCATTGTTTTTGCAAATGCGGTAGGGTAGAAATGGGTGAATAAGTTTAATTATTGGAACAATTAGGGTTTTAAAGTGGCGCACGGAACCAAAATTGATTGGTTGAACAACTTTTTTAACCGACCATTCATATATCATACTCTTTCAATTCCAAAACAAACGTAATATCACCACTAAATATGGTTTTTATTCTGAGACATAGTGATTATAACACTTCCGATATCTTAACAACTTTGAGAATTTCAGTAAATAAAACAGTGATCATCTTCTGGTTCTAAATTAACTGCAACCGTTTTAAACAAATCACAGAAGACTAAAATTGATTTGTTTAACTTTTTGAAAGACTATGTTTCCATTTGGGTTTGATGGATGAGTTATTATTGGTATATAGTATGAAGATTTCTATTAAAATGTGAAACATAAGTAAATAGACAAAACCTTCACTATTGTTTAACAGAAAATTGGATTTGTTTAGATGTCCATAAAAATGTAAGTAGTTTAGGTAAATTTGGGCTCATTTGATAGAAAAAAAATGTTGGGGCAAGAAATGGGTTTTATCATTCATATTCGGGCTGTGTTGGGCTAACAACTTCCGAAGCGTAGTGTAGAAATATTCGGCAGTTGAATGGATTGTGTATCATTTTCAGTTGGGCTTATGCGTGCGGTTTTAATATTTTGTATAAACGATTAGTATGTCGCAAAACGCCCATCTCCTTACTCTACATTTGGATGGATACTTGAAAAGAAATTCATCAGGATGTATGATGATAAATGGACATTTTTTAAAGGGAAAATGGGTCTTTTCACACCATCCAAAACATCCCAAAGTTTAAGAACATGCTATTTACATCCCAAATTTTTTAAAAACATGTTACATTAGGATATTCGTTAAATTTTTAACTCCAGTTATTTAATTTGTGGTGGTACTTTATTCTGTTTCTCCCCCACCCCCAATTCTTTTAATCATTTAACACGTTCCACTAACTCCCACCTTATAAGAAAACAGCTAAATCTAATTTGGTATTCACACCATCCATTTTTCCCTTGCTTAGAAAAAGAAAAAAAAAAGTCCAAGATTCACCTTCTAGATTGATAACAATCATGAGAGGTTTTGTGTGTGTCCTAATTAGAAAGTAAGCCCTATTTCATTTATTTTTTTAAATATGTAGCATCATTATAAAAATTGGTGTTGTAATTGATGCAGGGCATGTAACTTTTTTGTTTGGCATGGACCAAATTTACCAAACGCAAGCATGAAACTTTTTTGACTAAAAACAATGGGGGAAAAAAACTGAATGAAATATCGTCGTTAATAACTTGAAAGAATTAACAAATGTCCTAATATTACATATTCTTGAAAAATTTGGGATGAAAATGACATGCTTTTAAACTTTGGGATGTTTTAGATAGTGTGGCTCAAACCTTGGGATGAAAAGGCCCATTCTCTCTTTTTTAAATATTGGAAATCCGACGTATGTTGGAAAGTCTTTCTTTTCATAATCTATAATTCCTTCATGGTAGCTCATGTAATAGGGGATTATGCTAAAGTAAGTGATTCCGATAGTATATCTTGGCGATCTACGCCAACCTTTTTGTATTAATCAGGGCTGGCTGAATTCCAGTAAATTTAATGAAAATCTTGATTTCTAAAAAAAATGGAAACATTTTTTCTTTTTATTGGTACAAAACAAAAATAGAGAAACGATACACCATCCATCCTGAAATAATTATCCCATTCAAATTTTTTTAATGACTTTGAAGGGAAGCATTACAAGATGAGTTGCTCAATGTATGGACAAATGCAGGAGTCTTCCTCTAATAGTTTCACTTCATTCTACCTCATTCGTTACGTTACGTGGTACACAATAGGCTTAGGATTTAGAAGATACACGAAAAAATAAAATTGAAATATAATTTAGTGAGAGAAAACGCTCTCCCTTCTCTCTAGGAAAAAAGAGAAACCTCCTCTCTACGGAGAGGCACCAAAAATTAAATAATTACACTCTTTTTTTTTTTCACTAGTCATTTAAATTGGGCAAAACCACTTCCTCAATCTCATTTCTTGTTTTTTATCCAAATCTTACTCAAAACCACCAAAAGCACACTGTTTTGGGTCCATTATCATGATTGCATGCAAGTTTTGATGAAACAAATTTGCCACTTGGCTTACATGCAATCCAAAATTAATAAAAAATTGGATCCTTGTTAATCCTCTTCATTTAGGAACTCGAAATATGGAGTTTATGTAGTGCTCTATACTTGATCTATGAGCGTGTTGAGTAGATCAAAAACCAAAAGGCAGTTGCCTTTTCAAATATCTTCTTCAAGTTTTCTTGGAAAGGTCCTTTTGTTTTCTTCCATATAGCAGCCCACCTTTGGTTTCCCAACTTCTTGTTTCCTTTACAGATCCAGGCTTAAATGCTCAAGAGTCTCTTTCATATTCCCATAAAAATTCCTCTAGTTTTAAATTTACTGGCACAAGCTAAGATTTACAGTCAGACATCCTTTTAACTTCTTTTTGTTCTTTTCCTATTCTTGCATTGAAGTCTCCTCGAATCAGGGGAGCATTTAGTTGGAAAGCTCCTTCTATTTAATCAGATCTGGCCCTCTTAACATCAGATTATGATGAATCACTCACATGCAAGTGAGAATTCTGCCTCTAGTGTGTACACACCTTAAGGGACAGAGTTCTCAGAAGAAATGAGAAACATCCAAATATGGCATATCGTCCTCGCATGCATGTAGCCAGCATACAGATTTCGGCGAGAGTGGAAGAGTTATCGGCAGATAATCAATCGCTGTCTTTACTGGGGTATCTAATCGATGACAGATACTTCAATGGAGAACAGATGCAAAACTATCTTAACATAAACTGGGCGATGTATGCCAAGATGTAACATTATGGTAGGAATTTCTTTGTGATCAGATTCCTTTGCAAGACAGATCTACTAGCAGCTTTGGATAATAGCCCATATGCTGTCCATGGGGGACTTCTAATCTTGCGGAGATGGCATGGAAATGATGATATTGTGCTAGATAGAGTCCGGATTACAAAAATCTCGATCTGGGTGCGACTGCATAAGATGCCACTTCTGAACTATAACTGGCGTGGCGCAAGAGAACTCATTAAAATGCTAAGGGAAGTGGAAAAGGTCAAGGAGGATTACACATCCTTGCAGAAGGCGACATATATCAGGGCCAAGATCTGGATAGAACCTGCAAATCCACTTACACCAGCCTTCCATGCAGTTTCATCTAGAGGTACTTCTAATATGATTGAATGCCGTTATGAACATTTACATAAATTCTGCCGCAAGTGTGGTAGACTGGGGCATCCCAACCATAAATGCATGATAGTTTCGGATGTGGCCCTGGAAGCTTTCCTCAATGATCATTTTATAGCACAAGAAGAGAGGAATAATGCACCAATGTACTGGAATGAACTCAGAGAGATGTTTCTGGAAACAATGAGAGCAGACGGACACAGAAATCAAAGGTGTACCAGATGATAGCAGCATTCCTGAACAGGACTAGAGATTATTATGCTCTCATTGAGGAGGAAAGAATTAATGATGGTTTTCAAATAACTATGGACGAGGTCCAGGGTTTTCAACCTATGAATATTGATCCACCACCAGGAGATGATGATGACGGAGAAGAGGGAGGTAATGATCCAGACAACAATGAGGGCAATGAGGAGGGTAATGGACATCATGGTGGTCCTAGTAATGGAGATCAGGAGGACATGGATTTGGGCGAAGGGGACGGAGTTGACCGGTATGATAGTCCACCACACGTAGGGATGCAACCGCCTTATGAGAACGGCTTTCATGATGATACAATCGATTCCTACCCACTTAGCTCCATCGAAAGAGGTAATTCTCCGGACAATGTGTTATCTTGTGATTTTAGTTATTCCTCATCCTCACAAGGGGTGATTTTGCTGGAAATGTTGGCTTCCTTTTACATCAGTATGATTCTCAAATAGTGAACTTTGACATTTATTCTGATGTTGGTAATCACAGTACTAGACAGTCAAATCAGAGCAACCTAGTTAGGGATCATTCTCAGGGGAAATTGATAGTTCACAGAATGTACAACTAGATCCAGAATCGGCTGATATAGGCATGGAGGATCTAAATGTAATAGATAGTTTAGATCATATTGATATCATGATAGGAGACACTGTTTTCTCTCCTAGTCCTTTAGTTATAGCTATGGATTCTCTGCCTTAATGGTGGAGATCCTGGGGCATTTTCTCCAATGCACAACAGAACAATATTGAGAAGGAAGTTGTCCAAGATAGTGAGTCTGTTAAAGAAGTGACAACTTAAGGTCAGCTGGAGTTTGGAGTAAATCATAAGGAGAAGGATCATAATCTAGAATTGCAACCATCTCAGTACTTCAGTAGGCTGTATATGCAAGGGAAGGACATCAACCAAGCTGAGGAAGACATCATCCTAACTTGGCCTAGGGACAGCGAGGAGCCAGTTAGCCCAACTCTCTCAGAAACCAGGGCAAGCATAACCAAATCAGCTAGAAGGAGCAACGTGAAGAACCAAGCTTTGATACCTAACACTAATGACTTCAAGAGAGATGGCAAAAGCTCCCAGTGGAAGAGGAAGAGGCAACTGGAAACTCGCCAATTCTTAGAGCATCAAAACTCCTTAATTTTGCAGGATAATGAGCCAAGCTACTCGAAGATGCAGTACCCACAGGAACTTCACATGACACTTGAAAGACTGAGGAGATGGAGAAAGATGAGGGATGAAGAGGAGAGGAGAACAGTTCAAAGAGGAATTAGCTCTGGCAACTCTACTGCCACATAAGCAGGAAGCAAACACACCAGGACAGAGGATGAAGAAGGATAGCTGAGAGAGAAAAAACCAAAGATGATTAGGGAGAAGGTCAAGACGAATGTAATGGCACTAACTAACCTGATTTTTGCCTTTGATGATTTGTTGGTTCAGGAAGGAATGGAGGGACTTATGGTGGTTGATCCCAGACAACCGCCTCAAGTTTCATGAGAATACTCAGCTGGAACTACAGGGGCATGAGGAATGTTCCTACTAAGCAAGTATTATGTAAATTACTAAAACAATTCCTAGCTTAATGTTTTTTATGGAAACCAAAACGGTTTCCAGTAGTGTAGAAGTATGGCAGCAAAGTACATGTTTTAGGCACTCCATTGTAGTAGATCCGGTAGGAACTAGTGGAGGTTTGGCCTTATTTTGGGTAGATGGTTTGTCAGTAACTTTGCTGCAAAAATCTGCAAATGCTATAGTGGTCAAGGTAGTAGAAGCAAAGGGACTAGAATGGGTGGTTATTTTCTTGTATGGATTTCCCTCTCGTCAAGGGAGATCCAAATTTTGGACTGATCTTAATAGCACTCTTCATCCTTTGTCGTATCTAGTATTATCTTAGGATATTTTAACCAAGTTATTAGCCAAGAAGATAAACATGGTGGTAGAGCAGTCAAAGATGGAGATACAAGCTCCATTAGAAGTTTCCTAGATAGAAATTAATTGAAAGAACTCAGACACTTGGGATGTTGCTATACATGGACGAACAATTGACAAGGAAATCAGATCATATATGAAAGGCTTGACAGAGCTTTTGTCGCAAAAGATTGGTTGCAACATTTTAATAAGGCAATAATCCGGAATTTTCCCATTCTCAATTCAGACCATGGCCCAATTTTGGTGGAGCTGAAAGAGCAGAAGAAACACAGAAAGCGAAAGAAGTACTTTGAGCAATTCTGGGTCAGATGCAACAAAACCAAGGAAATTGTCAAACAGTCATGGAAACCAAAACAACAAGAAGTTCAAAATATTTAGGTTGAAATGTGAAATAAACTGTAAGAATGTCTGAATCAACTTCACAATTGGAGTAAAGAGACCTTCAAGGACATTGACAAACATGTTTAGAAGTTAATGGAAGAGACCAGCATCTAACAGCAATACTGGGAAACTCATCAACAAGATGATCAAGCTCATTCTAAACTACTCCAGTTAATGGAGGCGGTGGAAGAGGACTTAAGAATACAGGAGGACTACTGGCGACAGAGAGCCAAACTCATTTGGCCTCTACAGGTGGATAAAAACACAAAATTCTTCCATAAATGGGCTTCACGGAAAAAGGGCAACAAATGGATTACGGAATTAGTAGATGCTGAAGGCAAATGGATCCAGGAACAGTCACATATTAGGCAGTTGATCAATGAACACTTCTCTGATATTTATAAGGTACATTCAGAGGATTTTGTGCTGAATGACTGGTCTTTCAAAGATCTACTATAGAACATGGAGGAAATGCTATCAACGGAACAACAACAATTTCTTGCTACTCCTTTCACTGAAATTGAAGTATGGCAAGCAATCAAGGACATGGTGCCATGGAAGTCTCCAGGGCCAGACGGTATGCCTGCAGGTTTTTTACCAAACAAACTGGAAGGACATCAAAGTGGAGGTAGTTGAATCTATCATGGAAATTACCCAGAATTCTGATCTTCCAAAAGAATGAAATCAAATGAATCTTGTTTTGATCCCAAAGAAGGCAAATCCAGTAGAGCCGAATGACTTCCGCCCATCAGTCTCTGCAATGTGAAGTACAAAGTAATTACCAAGATGATTACAACCAGGTTAAATCAGTTATGAATGATCTAATCGATGATCATCAGAATGGTTTTGTGCCAAGACGAAACATCAGTGAAAATATTCTAATGGTGCATGAAGTTGTGGAATACATCAAAAGGAGGAAAGGAAAAGTTGGGGTGGCTGTAGTTAAAGTAGACATGAGTAAAGCATACGACAGAGTTTTCTGGAAGTTCTTAAAGGAAGTTCTACTCTGACTCAAGTTTCCAAAAGCACTAGTAAACTTGATTCTTCAGTGTGTTTCAACGGTTTCATACTCAATTCTTTTTAATGGGGAGCAATGGATTTCTTCACTCCGGAGCATGGCTTGAGACAAGGATATTCTTTATTGCCTTACCTCTTCATTCTGTGTCAACAAGCTCTTTCTTCAGCTATCAGGACAGAAATCAGGAGATTGCCAAGTTTGGGTATAAAAATTAGTACATCAGCTCCCAGGATCAGTCATCTGATGTATGCAGATGATAGCCTGTTTTTTCTGAAATGCAAAGAATTGTCAGCCAATGCACTGGCCAATTTGATCAAGCAATATGCAAGATTCTCTGGGCAGAAAATAAATCATTCAAAATCCTCAATTCTACTGAGCCCAAATACTCCACAGGATCAAAAAGAAATGTTGCACCGGGGCCTGGAGATTAGTTCCACCAATTTCCAGAGTAGATACCCGGGTCTGAGCTTAGACTTTGAAGAAAAGAAGAAGATTATTTTTGAACAATTCACCAAAAAGCTTAGTAGCAAACTGGGAGATAGGAAAACCAAGATGCTATCACTTGCTGGCAGAGTCACACTGGAAAAGTCAACACTTTTTTCAATGTTGGTGTATCCAATGGGGGGTTTTTAAGTTACCTAAAGGTACATTACAGATAGCGAACCGAATAATTGGCCGATTCATCAAGACGGGAGACAAAGAAAGCAAAGGAATACACTGGAGATCTTGGGATAAAATATGTAGATCAACATTGCATGGAGGCCTGGGATTAAAGTCCACAGTGGAGTTCAACCAAGCACTGCTTGCTAAACATGCTCGGAAGATCATTTCAGCTCCCACCTCACTGATTTCCCATTTTTTTCAGAGGAAAATATAATAAGGGAGGGTTCTTTACAATGCCAAAGAATGGGAATCAAGTCTCCTGGGAATACAGAAGCATCCTTTGGGGTTATGAACTTCTCAACGGAAATACTAAGTGGAAAGTCATAACAGGTCAAAACATCAAAATTTGTGCAAATTGGATCCCAAATCAGGACAATCCAATAGCCCGGTATTCCATCTTAGCGACTCATACAGATTTGTGTGTTGCAAACCTGATCACCTCTAGTGGATCCTGGAAACTGCCACTGCTCAGGAAGATTTTTCCAAGTCATATGCTACCCTCTATCCTTGGTATTCATATTGATCCAATGCGAAGGGGCAAGAGGACAAGCTCATTTAGACGGGGACAGAACGGAAACTACACTGTCAAATCAAGCTACAGAGTTGCTTATAGTAAGGAGCACCCTTGGGATACAAACAGAACAACTCATGAAAAAAGGGCATGGAAGCGACTATGGAAATGCAATCTACCTCCGAAAATGAGATTATTCATTTGGAGAAGTATATATGAGGCGCTTTCTACAGCGGTTGGCCTACACCAGAGAGGGGTCCTGGAAGATGTAATATGTTCTAGATGCCAACAAGAACCTGAGGATGTCTCTCACCTTCTGCTGCAATGCGAGCAATCCAAAAGAATTTGGAGAATCTTAAGTATGGGATTTAATTTTGATGTTGGACAAACAATCAACTTCAGGGAATGGTTCTTAGAATGGCTGAGGATGGCCCCAGATGATGACTCAATAGCTCTCTCAATCTTTATACTATGGGGTATCTGGTTAACTAGAAACAACATAGTATGGAGGAATCAACGAGGACAAGAGCTACAACTTTGGAACCAGATCAAGCAAGACTTTAACTTGCACCAGAACTTATGTAGGAAAGCCAAGGCAAATGTTTCCTCTAGTTCAATTCAGACAGATGGGATCATGAATATGGATACTGATCAGACAGGTACTACACGCAATACTATTCTCATGGATGGGTCCTTTTTTTTCCAGAAACTAAGGCATCATGTGGGGCTTGGAAAATCACGACTACTCATGGAATGATATTGCATATCAAAACCAAGAAATTCGCAGCACTCTCACCACTACAAGCGAAAGCTACAATGCTACTTCTAGCTTTAACATAAGCAATCAAGCTGGATCTCTGGGAAATTACAGTCCTTACAGATTATGAACTTCTAGTGGATCCCTCGTCTTCAGACTCAGTCCCAATAGAAGTACAGGAGTTATTTGATAGAATTGTTAGATTAAGGCAATGTTTTTCGGTTTATTCAATAGTTAAGGTTCCTAGAGATCAAGTAACAGAGATTCATAATATAGCATATAATCTAGCAAAATGTAATACTTTAAGTTTTAATGATTATATATAATAACAGGTACCCTTAAAAAAAAGGCTTAGAATCCATTGTGTGGTTAGCCAGGTTAAAATTATCTTTTGGTTGATCAAAGAACGACACAAGAAAAAAAAAAAGAAAACCAAATTTAGCAGTGTTTAGTGTTTACTATGTGGGGATGCGACAAATTCCAAGAGAAGGAAAAAGCATTTTGCATTTTCTATTTTTCCTGGAGTTGACAATTAATACTCATTCAAATTAAACCAATCATTCTTACTATTTCAGTGTTTCTCTTTGACATTAAGGTATCTTGGACAAACTTTAACCTGCATATTTGGTGTGTGTTTCGTATTGTCCTTTATATGGATTCCGATCTCAGAGGTGCTCTTCCGACTCAAGACAATATTCCACGACCCCATGAAATCTATGTAGGCAAGCATAATGGAATCTGTTCTGCTAATGATTTCCTCACCCAAATGCCCGGCGTGGAGGAATGCTACGAATTCCGCCTAGTTAAGATTGACCAACTGATGAAAGTTTTTTGGTACCCCGAAACGAATAAATCCGACGGAAATTCTCTACCCAACTTCAAGTAAGTGATTTTCCATATATACACACATGCTTCATTTTTTAGGAATATTTGATGTACTAATAATCAAACAACTTTTGAAGAAGGACAAAACGCACTTTTGGTCCCTAATCTATGGGGGGTTACAACTTTTGGTCACCATTAATTTTTTACTGACAAAA